GCCCACTAGGGGGCGGGGCTGGCTGGCATGTGGTGCTGGGGGATCGAACCGCGGTCCCTGTGCTTTGCCAAGCTTGTTCCAAGTAGGTGCTTTAGACCATTGAGCCATCTCTCCAGCCCCCATGCAAATCTCTCTTAGGTCTCCTCATGTGCTGACAAATTCTCTATTCTGTTTACCAATTTTTTTCTTCAGTTTCAAACTTTTTCCTCTAAACTATAGACATCAAATTCAAATAGCCAAAGTTCTGAATCAAGTTCTAATTTACTATCTAGATATAATTCAAAAACAGATTTTCCATGTCTGTTGTTTTTCCAAATTATTATAGAGTAAAAAGAAAAAAAAAGAAAGAAAAGAAAATCCTATGAAACATTTAGAACTAATGTGAAGACTAAGTGACAGATATAATTGCAAAATACCAGCTAACAGTATTCCCCATGTTGGCTTCTGTTAACTTCAGTCTTGGCCTAAAGCAGATGTGTCTGGGGCAGAGTCCTGATGGATCCACCCCCTGGAAAGGGAGAACTAGTGTTAGTGGTAGGAGAGTTACTGTGGAGCTACTCTTGTTTGAGTAAAGGAGAGGAATCACATATCTGACAACAGACAGGGTCACAATGTCTCCTGTCACTCTACTACATTCCTAGAAATCATCAAACATCAATCAAGTGGCAGACACACTACCTGTTATGTCTCCTCCAGGAGAAAAATTCTTAAAAGATATATTTGTCCTGACTAACCCTCCCAGGACATAGGTCCTTGCCATTGAAACTCACTCTGGATTTCAGTCCCCACCTGCCCCTTATTCTGGTTTCTCTACTCAACACACAGCTTGTCATGTATCACCAGGCTGAGTGCTTAAGCATCACACCCAAAGTATAAATAGAAATATTCCACTTAGGCTGGGTGCACCACTCTGGTTCATTGGCCATAAACTGCTTGCATAAGAGAACATGAAACATAGAGTAAATAGAAGCTTTGAGAAGCAATGCTTTAAAAATAAATGTTTATTATTTTCAAATTATCAAAGCTATAGTTTAAAAATATGGATTTAGCAAGCAGAAAAAACTAAAGAAGGAATAAGTTAAAAAGCATTTGTAAGGCCTGTGATATACAGCTCAGTTGGCTAAGCGTTTGCTTAGTAAATGAAGGGGCCGGGCTTTGATCCCTGGCACCACATTCAGCGATCCCCCCTCCCCGATGTGCTCTGAGCCGGTGATGGAGTCAGGGCGTGGTCGTGCAAGCCTATAATCTCAGTACTAGGAAGGCAGAAATCACAAGGATCACTACGAGTCCAAACTGCATAGTTAGACCGTGTACACACATACAAGCAAGCATTTCTAAAAATCTACATCTTAACAGCTGTTCTTTTTTTATATTTCTGTTTCATTTTTTTGTTTTCTTCTTTTGTTTCTGACCATATTATTTCTTTGTTTCCTTTTTGTTTATCTGTTTTTGGTTATGGTACTATGGACTGAACCCAGGATTCTCGACCCAAAACTTAAAAACATGTTTTGAGACAGGATATTTCTATATCTCTAAATTAGGAAGAGACTTGGCTGGGCTTGATATTTTGATCCTCCAGCATCAACTTCTCCAAACGCTGGGATTTTCGGCATGCACTATGATCACCATCTCATAGCTGGTTCATACATGACATTCTTCCAAACTTGTTTCCGATATATTTTGTTCCTAAACTTGGATCTTAGATAATTTGTTAAATTTGCATCTTATCTCCATCAGCATCATTAACAGCAGCATCCAGGCTTTTAGGACTTCAATAAATTTCAACATTTCAATCAGAATTGAGTGGTTTTATCTGTTTTTTTCCCCGAGGTTTGATTGCCTTATAAAAAAGAATGATAAAGGTAAATCAGTTGGGGTACAACTGCTCAAACATTTTCCCTTCTCTAAAAATCTGGAGTTGTGAAAAATTTTTACAGTATAGAGACTTACCTTACAGAACCAAAGGCCATACCTCCTTTCTTGCCTCTCTCCCTGCGTATCCCTTCCTGAATACTTGTCTCAGAGTCACACCCTGCCCCTTGCTCAGGACCAGGAAAGGTGTTGATTACTCCTAGCCAGCAGGAGCTCAGGAAGAGCAGGAACAGGAGAGAGGAGAGGAGGAAATGGACTGGTGGAGCCAAAATGGCAATGCTATGTGGGGGATCCTTATTACCCAGGAGAATGGGTGCAGGAGCAAAAGCACTTCCTGCTGTGTCTGCTGCAAGGGAAAGCTTGGAGGATTGTACTGGGATGAAATCAGAACTGGGGAACCCAGGAGCAGTGCATCTGTGTCTGCCTCAGTAGGTGTGCAGTTACATTTTGTATGTTTGATTTGTATTCCAAACTTTTGATGTTCTATAAATCTACATGAATGTTTACATTATTATGTTATAGACTGTGGCTTTGTTATGCAGTAGTTCTCTGAAAGCAGGCATCCTTGTGTTCTGAATTTCTTAGACTAGTTTTGCTAATTTCGATTTGCTTTGAGTAGCGTTGATGTTCTTTTCAGCAGAAAATATTTCCTCCATTCATAGATGATTGTCCTGTGATCCCTGGTGATTAAAATTTTAAACCAACTGGAAAAGAAATATACTCAGAAAACAAACAGGTTTGCCTAAATTGAATCCAAATTTTTATTAAATTATCTTTTGCATAATAAGAACAAGAGATGTTCATCCCTTGGTCAGCACATACATGAGACACAGTTTTGGATTTGTGTATTTCCAGGAACCCATCTTGAGTAACATAATTTGATAAGGCGATGACAGTGTTGGGGATGAACTTGTCTTTCACTGTTATGTCAAAGACTTTGACTTGGATGCGTCTCTGTTCATCAGCCATGATGGCATGAAGCATTTTCTCATCTTTTCCAATTCCATATGTAAATGGTTTTGTCACCTTCAACACCATCATTGCTTTGGAACCTGGCTGTGAACCACATTCTTCAGAGGGCTCGCTGGGTACACACTGAACTCTTTTCTTCTACTTGGACATTACACAAGAAAACAAAATCTCAATTAAGGCAATACTCAGTGACTTTCTGGTGAGATACATCTCAGGCTCAGTGATGGTTAAAGAGCAACTTATTTAAGGGACTGAGGGAAAACAATGTTTAATGTCCTATTACTTACTTCATAGAAGAAATGAAAAAAATGTGTTAACTAGTCATATTGCTTCTAATCTGAATCAACAATGGGAAGTTTTTAAGACTTAAATCACAAAGTCCTTTCAATGAAATCAGTGCTGATTTGCATGAGGATTAATAAGGCAGCTAGTTCATGTACCTCACTAACTTTCCTCTTCTGGACAGGTCCAGGCTAGAAGCTGTTATGCTTGAGTAACAGCAGTCATTGAAGAGAATCAATGCAAATGAAATTAAGCATTAAGGACCTTTACTTTGAACACCTGTCTTTGCACCTGTCTATGCCTGCTTCATAGTTTCAGGAGAGCATTTTTGAGCTGGGCATGAGGCCCATGATCTGGAAGAAGAAGGGACATGGCTGGGAGCTACATATTTCAGAAGACTCACTGGGTATATATTGCTGTCTTTGCTTCTATGCACACAAAAAACACAATCATAATTAAGATGATAGTGATGAACTAGTGAGCATCAACTCAGGCTCAATGCCGTGCTCAAAGCACATCTTAATTAGGGGAATGAGGGAAAAGCATCTGATTTTCCATTACTTATCTAAAAGAAGACATGAAAAAAGTAGTATTAGCTGGTTCTAATGCTAGAAAACTGGGGATTTTTAAAGAGTCAAATCACAAAGCCCTTTTCAAGAAATTAATGCTATTATGCATGAGGGTGAGTAGGGAAGCCAGTGGAAGAACCTCAAGAACTTTTTTATGTATTTTGTACAGAATTTACAGGGTCTATATGCTCTCACTATGTAGATCTGACTTGTAGTAATTCTCCTGTTTCTAGTCTCCCAAGCACTGGGATTACAGCTACAAGTCACCACACCCAGTCTCAACCACTGTCTCAGCATGCCCCAAGGGTGGGGCCAGCACAACATGCTGGGTGTTGAACGCTGGCCACGGTGCTCTGCCTAAGCAGGCTCTTTAGTCCACTGACCTCTCTGGCTGGCCCAAAACCTCAAGAACTTTCTTGAGCTAACCAAGTCCAGACTATACACTCTTCAGATTTTAAAATAGTAGATATTGAGGAAACTCATAGAAATGGAAGGTAGGCCTTAAGGACCTTGGCTTTGAACACCTGTCTATACAGAGGCCTGCACTATTTCCTCAGTTTTAGAGAACGTTTTTGAGTTGGTCAAGAGGCTGATGATCTGAAGAGCAAATGTACATGCAACCATGGGAGTTCTGGGAACCAGGGCGTGGAGCCAGGCAAGCTGCCTCTGTAGATCAGCAATGTGATTGAAACCTGAAAAATGATGCAGACCATGCTATGTAAGTGAGGGTGACTAACACTGACTTCTGCTTTGGGTGGTCAAATTGTGCCTAATATGAAAAATTCATTACCCATATAATTTATGCAGTAACAGAGAACCTCATGATAGTGACCTCAACATTTGGAGTAAAACTGCACAATAGTTAGTGAAGAAAATACAACCCTATATTTATTATAAAAGAGAATCTGGGGTGCATATATTTTGTTATGTTCATGAAAGAATAGGGAATACTGAAAATAACTCTAAGTCAAAAAATATATTGTTATTCTATAATGTAGAGAATCAACATACAATCTTTGCATACTGTTAATTTTAATTTCCACTGATAGGTTAGATATAATTTCAAATAATTTTAAGTTCAAGATATTAATGATTTTTAACAGACCGGGTTAAAAAGAAGCACATGTAATGTTTTCCATTATGGAAGAAAATTATACTTTTTGGATATATATATATATATATATATATATATATATGTAATATTAAAATGACTGAATACAAATATAAGCTTTGGTGAACAATTTTGCTAAATTGAAAGTTATTTTTTGCAAGAATAAACAAGCCATAACGGCTTTATATTTCTACCAAAAGGAGTTATACAATACATGGTAAAGAGAACTGAGTCATTAAACAAAATGAGCAAACAAAAACTGGATTTTCTGACACTGAACCTCATTGTCACTAAGAAATAACTAAATGTTCTCCCAAAGCTAACATATGAGAGAGCCGCAGGAGCAAACTTGACAACAGGAGCGCAGCCAGCCTACCTTCGACACAGGTGCATCCATCTCTGATTCTGATTGCGATTCTACATCTGTGTTGATCATACATTGAATAGTACTGGATTTCTTCTGCAGACTTTCTTTTCCTGTGCTTTTGGCTCTTTCTCTGCATTCCCTTAGAACTAATAGTACAAAATAAAATGCAATACCATGAGGGGAAGATCATAGTGATGTCAATAAATTTTGTTTCTCTTTCTGTGACTCTAGACCATCTCCTCTACTTCTGATTCTTCTCCTCATTGCGAGACAGCCATCGATGGCTTCCCAGCCATAAGCACAGCCTCAGTGCTTTCTTGCTTTTCCAAGGGACACTTAGAACAGCCTTCGCACCTTGTCGATTTCATGAACCTGTCTCATATCCTGTGTTCTTTTAAGAATCAAAATTTTTCATAATGTTAAGAGTAGGTCACCATCCATAGAGGGCTTTACCAAATTTGAGAAACTGAAAAAAATTTTATTCTCAGGTGTGCAGTGATAATGTGAGATACCTGACTATATATCTTACATAATTTTTTCCATGTATTTAGCACAGGTTCTACAAGGTCTCATCGCTTAGATCAGACTCACAGTGATCCTTCTGTTTCAGCCTCCTAGGAGCTGGGATTATAGGCAGGCACCACTATGCCCAGTCTTACACAATTTTTTAAACCAAGTGATTTTATAGTAGAGAATTTCTTCCTAACTATGAGACACAGGTTGTTATTTACACACTTTCTCATATTTTCTGCCATAGAGATATGAATAATGAAATAACCTAAAGAGGTAATATTTATTTATCTAATTATTTCAAATGCATTAATTTTAAAACGTATAATTCTTCCATATTTAATTTTAACTCTTGTAATTTTTCCAATGCATCAGAAGCCTTAGGAGTGTCAAGATTTTAATCTGCTTTTTTATTTCCTTTGTGACCTGGTTCAAATACTCTTCAAGTATGCTAGAACTTTGTGCAGGAGAGATGCTGTCTAGGTTGTCACTCTGTCAGCACCTGAGCTATTAAGAGTGCTATAGATACTGAGGAATATGCAGGGGAAGTGACAACATGACCAAGTTGGGGTTCTTGTCCATGTTAGGGAGGGTGCACACTATTACCTTTTTTTTAATATTTATTTATTTATTTATTTATTTATTTATTTTTGTGTGTGTGGCCAGCTCAGCCCACCAGGGGGCAGGCGGGCTGGCATGTGGTGCTGGGGGATTGAACCGAGGTCCCTGTGCCTTGCTTGGCTTAGCTTGTTCTAAGTAGGTGCCTTAGACCACTGAGCCATCTCACCAGCCCAACACACTATTACCTTTTGACTTCAGTTCTCTGAGAAATTTAACCCAGTCTTCTAGCTCTTCTTTGTCTTTGAACAATTCTATCAGTTTTTCCATACCTGCATCACTTTTAAACCATTTTGCTGTCTGTTCAGCAAATTCAATCACTTTTAAGCCATTTTGCTGTCTGTTCAGCAAATTCAATTCTGCCATATTTTTCATATAAGTTTTGTTGAGGTGTTAACTTTTTGCCAATTAAGGACTTTACCAGTGCAAAGTTCACATCACTGAGAAGATGTAAGCCTTGCATAAGACAAATCTCCTTGAATTTATCTTCCATCTTTCAAATGATAGGCGAACCTGCAAAAGAAATTGTCATACAATGCTTCATGATAACTGTACACAGGCTATTTTCAAAATCACATAAGCCTACATAGACAATTTATATCACAGCATGTTCAACAGTCACAAAGGTATCTCAAACAAGGGGGGTCACATAGTTACCAGTTGTTTCACTGTTGAAACATAGACAAAAAAGTGCTCCATTACACACTGCTAAGAAGTTTCTCTTCATTTATGATCAACTGAGTCAGTAGTGACATGAAGAAAGAAAATCTAGAAATAGATCTTACAGTGCCTAAAGTATAGGCAATTTAGTGCCAGAGTCCCTGGTCTTTGTTTCTATTCTTTTCTGTTTGAACCCTATGCTTAGTATGAATCTCGTCACTCCTGACTCTTCTCATAAGGGATCATTTTGTTCACCTGGCCCTTTATTAACAATCTCTTGCATTGCATCCTGTGCTGTTGGACCATTTCCTCTGTCATCACTGTCACATGTTAGAAGTCAAACTGTTGGAATTACTTTAATTGTTGCTTGATGTGTTTCATAAAAACATTTAAGAATAGTCAATTTTATGTCTGTAAGCTGTAAATCAATCTTATTGAAATATTTCAACAATTCTTTCAATCTTTTGTAAAAGCAAAATATAAACCCCTCCTTCCTCCTTAGTATAGCTTAACAGATTTGCTTAAATTATTTATATCCTTTAACTTTCTAATTTTTGTATTCTGTATATGTGATTCTTTAGAAATGTATAACACACATTTCTTTCTTATGCTTTATGTCATCACAAGCTGCTTATTTTTACTCAAAAAAATTACAACTTTTTTTTCTTCATTTCTTCCCTCTTACATGTTAAGATTCAACTGAAGGTTTGTCTTCTGGAAACATCCAAAGTTGAAAGATGGACTGAGTCTTGTGCCTCTGGACCTCCTTAGCACGTGTAAATTCTCTTTTTTTTGGGTGTTCTATGATTAATTTTTTAAATTTTTTCCATAATTTTATTGATAAACAAATAGCAATGAGACAATTTCAAATCAAATTGGTAGGAAAGTTTCAATAATTAACACATTGCATACATTCTTCCTAGTGGTTAATTGCTGTACAAGATGTGGACTTGAGATCCTATTTACAAACACCACTAGAACAAATCACTATTCATTAAGAGAATGTAACTATACATCTATCCTAACCACTTTGAATACACAGATACAAAATGGACATTCATCTGTATACCCTTTTTTGGTTAAGTTTTGTTATTTGAATATTATAGGTGTGTAAACTCAGCAAAATATTCTAAAAGAGTCCAGTAGCTCATAATAGTATTGGGTCTTCCGCTTGACTGGCAATGTCAGAAATTGTTGACCTGAGTTCCTACAGCTCAACATAATAGCATGGCTTTACTTCTTATATTTCGTTTTCATAATTTTCTGCTGGATGGTTAAGAACAAGGTAAAGCAGGACCTATGCAACAAGAGTTGTAGCTTTTGGGTCTGATAAGGTCAGTGAAATCTCCTCAGGGTTTATCCTGAGATCCTGTACCTCAGAATGTTTGTCAGTGTCAGCCACGTGGATGAGTCATGGCCATTGCTTGGCCAATGTGCTCTCTGTGAAAGCCTGAAAGAGTGTTTTCTCTCCATGTGACTCTCCTTAGGCACACTCTACATCACCAATCACTTTCCTTTTTAGCCCCATAATCTCCTCGATCAGAAAATTTAGGACACTACCGAGTTACATGACGTAACAGTACAAGTTCTCATATGTCCCGAGTCTTAATTGACCTTGGAAGGCTAGGGCCAAAATGTTGGCTTTCCTTGCAGCCTTCCTTTTTCTCTAATTTTGGTCTGCAAACTTAGGTTGTTAACCATCCAGAAGACAAGCTTATTGTTATTATCAAACAACTTAGGCTGTCAAGCTTAAGCTCACTATCTGTCTGCATATCACACATGTTAGGCATAATATGGAACAGGTATTTTTCATCAAGTATTGATATGTTGAACTTTAAGTCCCTACAGAACATGACAAAAACATTTATAAATTAGAATATATTTTAAAAATAGGCATAAAGAATTATATACTTCTCATGTTTGCACATAAGTCCAAAAATCTCACCATATACAACTTTGAAGCAGGACAGCCCCACAATATTCCTTTTCCTGTCTCTTGCTTTCATTCACCACTCCCTTCTTCTTGAACATCCATCTACCCAAGAGACATCGTAGTAGCAACTGGCATGTCATGACAAGCAGCCCATATTCAGAATACCAGAATGACAGGCACTCCAAGCATGAAACTACTATTACAAATTACCATCTGCAGTGCAGTAGCTTAGTTCACAGGTATCAATATATATAGTTAGTCAGGGTGAGAATCTTTCCAGTTAACTGCTAGATTCAAATATCTTCCAGAGATTCTCAGGATCATTGCCTTGCCCATCTTCTACATATAACTGTATGGTTTGACATTGTCATGTTTCCTAGCTCTTCTACTTCCCCTCTCTTGATTAATTAGTCCTTGAGATCTTGTTTTCCTTTTACTTGTATTATACCTTTCCTGTGCATTTTCTTCATGATAGTGTATGACATGGCTTCCCATTTGTTGATAAATTTACAAATGCTTTTAGTTTAGCAAAAACTAAAAGTTGTGAGTTTGTGTATCTGTTGTGTAATTAAAATATTCAAATTTCTACGCTGGTGAGATAGCTCATTGGACTAAGTGTTTTCTTTGGCAAGCACAGGGACCAAGGTTTGATGCCTGTCCCACATGCCCCACTGACCCTGCTTGTGGGGCACACTGAATCTGTGATCGAGTTCAGGTGTGGTGGCGCATGCCTGTAATCCCAGCACTGGGGAGGCTGAAAACAGAAGGATCACTATGAGAATGAGCTGTGTAATGAGATCCTGTACCAAATATATAAATAAAAAATTTAGTAAAGAAAACACATTAAGGGCCTGGGGAGATAGATCAGTAGAATAAGTGCTTGCCTGGCAAGTGCAAGATCCTGAGTTCAATCCCTGATACTGGAAAAAGAAATTTCTGAATGTGTTTATTGCTTCCTTCTTTTTTCAAAATTGCACTAAATAATTTTATTTTATAGACAACTGATAAGGAAATGATTCCTCCTTAAGTAAACAAGGAAATCTTCAGCTTGAAAAACCCATTGAGTGAGTGAAGAGAAAAATCCATATAAATACACACTGTAGTGAGTGAAATTGAAGAGTACTAAATGCAAAACTAACAGTGTATAAGCCACAATAAATAAAGATCACATCACCTACAGTGACTCAAGTATAATACTGAAACTAATTCTCAACAGGAAAACACATTAGTTAGAGAAGAATAATTATTGTAAATTACTGGACCAAAATCTAATATCTATTACCAAACCAAAGCCAAAATGTTTTAAAAACAGAAATGTTTGATTTTGACTGTGACAATACAATGTTACTATGAATTATAACCAGATGTCAGATGATAGAAAGCTATGCATAATCTTTGTATATATATATCACTTAAATGAGAATATTCATATATTTTGTTGTTAAAATATTATTAGCTTTGATTGTGGCATGGTGGTCCAGATCCAGTTGGAATTACAAGCAATACAGTAGTTAAGACATATGTATCAAGTAGTCTTCTGCAATTCAGATTCTGAATTCTAAAAGTTTTTTCTACATGTGTACCTGAGGTGCTCTCAGTCTCTTTGGTGTGAAAAATATTTAATCAAATATTTAGAAGTACATAAATGTGATATTTAAACAGAAAAGCATAAAGACTTATTCTCTGATAATACAGGTCTTATAGTTTTGAAAGGAAAAGACAGGAATATTGATTGGAAGTAATATTCCACAAAACAAAAGTTTGAGCTAAGCCATGAATCCTGTGGACCAAAATAAAGCCCAATGAAAACAAACTTGTCTAAAGGGTTTATGCCTTAAAAAACAGGTTCTGATGACAGAAACAAAGCAAACCATCAATGTGGTGGATCATGGAAGTAAATAGAATAGGATACACCATTAAAGACTTTTCTTCAAGCATAATATGCAGGTACAAGTTTAACTGAAATTTCAAGAAAGAAAATATAGAAGTGTAATAAAATCAAGGGAAGAGAGCCAAATCAAGTCAATGAATGTAATTACAATCATTAAACAGTCTAGACAAATAGATAATGAATTATCAAGTTGGATATATTACATCTGCCCATATTTTATTTATTTATTTATTTTGTGGAACCGGAGATTGAACTCAGGCCCTTGCGCTTGTCAGGGAAGCACTTATTTTACTGAGCTATATCCCCAGCCATATGTTGTTAACAAAAGCTTATTTAAATGGGGGAAATAAAAAACAAGTTACTATGCAAATTAAATAAGTGAAAGTCATTTGCTTATATTAATATAGCCTTAAGATAAAAGTTATTCCGATAAGATAAAAAGTATTATCAGATAGCACAAAATGCAAAATGTTCAACTCCCAAGCAGGTACATCAGCTTTCATTATAGATTTTTTTAAATAATTGGAATATTATGTTTTGTATGAGTAATACCATATTAATAAGTTCTATAAGTTCTTCAGTCAGGAAAACCAATGCTTAGCTCCAAATACCAATTTTAGCCATTTCGTACACAGATTGCTTACTTCACATTCCAAAAATGTTAAAATTTGTTGCAAACTGTGGAGGAACAAGCACATCTATTTCTTCCCTGAGTGAAGGATCAGAATCACCTTATTGCATGTGATTTAAATGCAGCTGAGACTAACTGTACTCTCTACACCCAGAAACCAGAAAAACTAATAGTGATTTCCTTTGTTATACTATGGATTTCTTGGAGACAAAACCATAAGCAAGATTATCATATTGCAGATCTTTCCACCA